CCTCTTTCTCTTAAAGGCAGAGAAAAGCCTATTACTGCAGTTACAGTGCCTCTTGAAGACATAAAAGCTAGAAAGCAAACGCATATTCAACTAATCGTTAATTGGGAGGCCTGACTAAAGACTACTAAATTTCTGCATCTTGAGTTAGTGACTCCTATATTTTCCTTTGTTCCCTTTCCTTCAGTTAGCTCATGCTTTCCTTCTTCTGCCACCTCTCCTGCTGTCCTCCAGTATGTAGGTAGGCAACTGGAGTTCTGCTGTTATGGAATTAGCAGCTTGATTTCACCCAAAACATGCAGAAATGGGCTGTGGCATTTAAGCAGAATATTAATCTTTAACACAAAGTGAGGTTCAGGTTTGTTGCTATCACACACATCAGCTGCGCCGTTGCCTGAAAATCAGTGCTAATAATTTCAATTCTATAAGAAGCTGTCTTGAAGCAAATGCTTTTGGATCTGCAGAGGAATCTGAGATACCAGAGGAAGGCCAGGAAGATGCTCTCAGGCTCTAAGCTGCAGGGCTCTTGGAGCAGCTGGTTGTAGCTGAAGCAGCGCCGTGTGATTGTGGTGTCGCGTCACTAACATCAACTCCATAGCTTAATTTTTCTTTGGATAGCAAAGTACAAAGTGTTTTTGCACATCCTGCATGCTTTCTTACAAATATCCTGTGTCAGTCCATTTTAACATAATGAATTATCTGTTTTCTTTTAAAATTCAGTCTTAAGTATGTGTTTTTTACTATTGGCAGCAGTACATGATATGGTCGCTGTTTGTTTTTAAATCTATGAAGACCCTCTCTAACTGTGACCTGTTAATCCTTGGAACACAGGGAAAATGTGCTTCAGTGAAGCATGGGCTATAGAAAAATTGAGTATAATCTTTTTTTAGCAGCTGAGAGATTTTGTGAAAATAATTGCTTTTCCCAGTTTAAGTAGCAGCCTGAAGATCCTGCCTTGAGTCAGTGTGCCCTAACGCTTGATGGAAGTTTGGCATGACTCCTCTTCTTGAGAGTTTGAAATGAGAATAATTTTCAAATAAAAATTTTGAGGAATGAAAGATGAATGTGAAGATTTGGATTTTTTTCCTTTTTTTTGGTGGCAAATATGTCTCTTTGAAGACTCTTACAGACACATAGGAAAACTTCGAGGGCTAGAGCACCTCTCCAGGCTGAGAGAGTTGGGGTTGTTCAGCCTGGAGAAAAGAAGGCGCCGGTGAGACCTTATAATGGCCTTCCAGTACCTGAAGGGGGCCTACAGGAGAGATGGGGAGGGACTCTTTGTCAGGGAGTGTAGTGATAGGATGAGGGGAAACGGTTTGAAGGAGGGGAGATTTAGATGAGAGATCAGGAAGAAATTCTTTACTGTGAGGGTGGTGAGACACTGGAACAGGTTGCCCAGAGCAGCTGTGGATGCCCCATCCCTGGAGGTGTTCAAGGCCAGGCTGGATGGGCCTTTGAGCAACCTGCTCTAGTGGGAGGTGTCCCTGCCCATGGCAGGGGGGCTGGAACTGATGATCTTTAAGGTCCCTTCCAACCCAAACCATTCTATGATTCTATGAAGTTCCAATTTCGGTCTCTTTCCTTCTTGCAAAAACTGTTCATTTTGGCATTTCAGCAATCTGTGAGTGAAAAATCATGTAATTTTCCAAACAGTAGCTTGTTTATAAATTGAAGTTAACTTGATGGTTAAAGTTATGCTATTTGCTAGTAATGAATGCATTAGTCACTATTTGAAAGCTGTCATGGAAAAATACCGATGCCTTTTTTTGGCAGCAAGAGTAGCATTTTCAGCTGCACAGATTAGTAGCTGGTTGAATGGTTGTGAAGTCTGGATCTATGTTAAGAAGCAGCAGCTTAATAATTTTGTAAGTCTTCGCGTATTTACCAGATAAGCACTTAATACTGCTTGCAGACAGAGGGGATTCAGTGACTTCTTACAGGGAATACAGCCTAAGTGTGACCCCCCAGGCTACATTTAAGTGTTTCTGCTTTTTTAGTCATATCAGCTGAAGAGAGAAGAAATTTCTACTCCCAGCCAGTATAAATAAAGCCAGAATAAATAAATTGGCTTGCATGGGTCGTATAAAAGCAAATTCATTTCAGTCTTGGTTCGTGCAAGTAACCGCATGTTTCTTGGGTCGATGCTGTTAATGCTGGTCTCTTCAGAAATGTGGGAAATTCCCAAAGGAGTATGCCCATAAGTCACTGTAGACAGCTCAGGAAAATCAGTTAAGTATGTAGCTGGACTCAAGATACAGAGGGATATGGAATGGCATGGTTAATAGAATAATGCGGAATATAATACTAAAATGTTATAGTAGCTTGCAGCTGTCTAGAATTCAGCTATTTGTTACTGGAATCATAGAATGGTTTATGTGGGAAAGGACCTTAAAGATCATGGAGTTCCAACCCCTCTGCCACGGGCAGGGACACCTCCCACTGGACCAGGTTGCTCAAAGCCCCATCCAGCCTGGCCTTGAACACTTCCAGGGATGGGGCATCCACAGCTTCTCTGGGCAACCTGTTCCAGTGCCTCACCACCCTCACTGTAAACACTGGAACACTATTTCCCCTTTCCTCCCCAGCACATGGAATCATGACAATACTATTGTTTTTTAAAGCCCTGGTATAACAGTTGCCCCTGTCTTGTGTGGTTTGCCCACTTCATAAATAATGGGAATAAATAATCCAGTTTAAGATGTTTCCTAGATATTTTCATAACAAAAATGAATTATGATTTGCTCTGAGAGCAGTAATAAACTCCATATACAAAATGAGGACGGTTTCCAAAGTTTGAGTGCTTTTCCTTGAAGAACAACTTTCATGGTAATTTATCAAAGAAGATCTGTCAAAGGGGCTGTGAGATAAACTTCTTGCTATTTCTTTCAGAAATATGATTTTTGCCTTACTTGTTTTGGTCTGGGCTGATCTACTTGTTTTGTGTTCCACGTCTTGGTTAGGACTTCTATTGGAAGGGTCTTTGTAGGATCTCAGCATTGCTGTGTGGTGTGGCAATGAGTGCTTTGTGTCTCTGCTACTGAGAGGACCTAGTAGATAGTTTGACTCTGTTCTGTTAGACCATAGGAGATGCAAGTCAAGATATTTTAAATTACCATGGATTGCAAATATTGGTGGCCTTCTGTATGCCATTGCATTGTTATAGGTTTAAATTACTACTTTTCATGAAGTAGCAATTAAAAAAACCCATACTTTTCCCCAAAAAGGCAGTACAGTTTATTTCCCCATCTTGACCACATTTCTGTGAATTAATCTTGTATCATCTTTTGCAATGGAGGTACATAGTTTTGGTCATCTGTCATTTGAGTATCCCCTAGTACTCATAAATCTGCTAATAATTGTAGGACTATGTAAAAAAAAGTTCTCAGTAAGTTTCTCCCATTTATAATTTGTAACAATCACATGAATGTTACCATTTTACACACACAAAAAAATTCTGCTCTGTGGGTCTTGAAGCGAATCGATCAGAATCACCAGTATCGTGGTGCCTGATACAAAAGCTGCCTTTGAAGTCACTCTTCTGTTCTTCATTTTGAAGTCGGAGCCCGGTGCGAAGCCTTCCGCTTGTGTTGGCAACAGTTCACAGTGAGGGCAAACAGCTTCCACTCCGTTCGGTGAATGTTCCCCGTTCATGCAAGATGTGTTTGACCTTTAATTTCAAAGGGAAGGTGACGGGTTCAATAAAAAAAATTCATCTTGCTCTTTGCGGGTGGCTCTTCCCTAGTGCCGACGGTTTGGCACACCGTTCAGACTTCACGTATGAAGTCAGCCTGATCACTCCTCTGAGCAAACACGATGCTAACCAGTTGGTTGAGCTTCCTTGGGCTTGCCGGGCAATCTGATAAAACAGCCTTTCCAGTTAGGGCTACAAATTGCAGGCTCATCCTAGCCATTGCAGTGAATCCCTCGGCCAGACGGGGTGGTGTCCGGCAGCCGTCGCCTGTAGCGTGTGCTCGGAGTGTACGCACAGCACAGCTGTGCCAACACCCACCCTTGGAGTTTGTGTGTATGTGGGGACTCACAATTGCATTTCCCAGAGTGAGAGCCACCCGGCCCAAAGGTGCAAATTTTGAACTAGCAGTGTGGGTGCAATGCAGCCAAAAAGAGTAAAATTCAATAGCTGCGTGTCTTGAAGTGAAAGTTTTCGGGAGCTCCCCTTTGCAATGGATGCATTTCTGTGGAATACTTCACTTCACTGAATGTCGTTTTTCCAACAGAAAATCATCCTGTCAGAATTACTTCACCCTGCTTTGATATGAATTAATATGAAATTATAAACCTGCTGCTTTTACCAAAGTGATACCTTCCTAATATGCTGAGAAATTTCAGTCTTATTTTTTGTAAGCTGTCAACCCACTTACACTTTTATACCAAACTGTTTTGTCTTTGAGAAAATTGATATTTCAATTTGATGAAACAATTCAGAAACCTGATTTCTCTGTACTATATAAATCCAAAGTGATGTTTCTGAACTCAGAGGAAATGCAAAAATTGACAAGAGGGACTTACAAAAGTATTACAGTACTGTTTCAACTTTAATTTGCTTGAACTTCATGTTGTTGTTGAACTCTTTGATATCCCAGAAGTATCAGATGAAACAGTGGCTTTATCCTGGTTTCTGAATTAATGTTATTTTTTCTCTTGAAATAATTATTTGCTGCTGCTTAATTTAAGCCAACATGTTTTCATGTTCCTTCCATGGCCAAGCGTCAGTCATACAATTTAAATAATGAAGGCAGGCATTAAAGACCCAACTTTTTAAATGGGAGTATTATGAAGGATCCAAATAAAGAGGGCAGGGCCACCGCCTTCTTGTTAATTCTGTGATGCTTATATAATAGAAATATTACTGAAGTGTGTGATTAAAGTACAGCAAAGAATATTTGACAATTACTAAAAATAAAAAGTTTCTCAAGTTTTTAGTGTTTCATTTGTCCGTTGTCTTTTACTTAATCCGAAATTTATTTTTTTTTTTTAAATTACAGATAAATCGGGCCGTTTACACTGCACAGAAATGGAGGTAAGAGAAGTATTTTGTATTCTCTGCTAGAGCTGATTTACCTCAGCTTTTTGTCATTGACTTATAGTGTAAATGTGGTACATTTATAGCATGGAGTTAGTTGTACCATGGGATGTGCATTGTGTTTATGACTTTTGTTAACAGCTGCATAAATGTGTCTTAACGTGGGATATTTAGTCTCACATTCAGGAAGAGAGAAGAGAAAGGTTGGAGATACGTTATGCAGCCAATGTAATCTCACTTGATATTAATTTCTTTAAAATACATATTTTTAGCAGAATATTTGACTTTAGGTAATTTCTGTTCGATAAATTATCTAAATTCTTTAGAAAGGACTAGTAGGTCGTGGAATAAATTCATTGTGTTTATGGAATGGCTTGGTGATTTTTGGCAATCCAATAATTTGGGTGGAAGCAGAGAAGACAAGTCATCTCAGGGTTGCTTGTCCATCAAAAGACATCTTGATTTCAGATACTTTAAATATTTCCTTTAATTTATCACTGTGGCAATTTTTTTGGGCCCAAGAAATATTGTTGTATGTCTTGCTGGGGTAGCAAGAGAAAATTGCCCATCATTTGATTCGGTATCTTTGATACTAAGCTGTGACTAGGGTTGTAAGAATGTGTTCAAACTATCATTTTGCCAGATTCATAGATTTAATCCAGGTCTGAAAGGAAAACTAAGTAGAATGTCTTGTTGAACAAGATGTGGACTCATAGTATAATTTTTATTATTCTACAGAGTAAATAATACAGTCTACTCCTTAAATAAACTTTTCCACCAATAAATATAATTTCTGTGTCCTTTGCAGGGCAGTCTTTTCTCACTGCCTTTGAACTTTCTTTGAAATGTAAAACAGAGTTTTTACTTCAACTGTTCCATCAGCTCCTCAGGCTGAGCCTGGAGATGGGGCAAGTGCGTGCATCTTAATTGGCGGGTTGTCTGTTTTCTTATCAATAATAGATACGAAGGTGACAAACGGCTGTTACTGAATGGTTTATACGTATACACTGTTCATGAAAACGGCTGATTTAAAGGCAAAATGAAAGGCCAGCTAATTCAACTACAAATGGTAAAACGCTAAGGCCATCTAGATTTTTTGCAAGTATTAATAACAGTAAAAAAAAGGAAATGTTCTTTCTGCAGGATTCAGTGTGAGGAATAATTCTTAACTGATGTAAGCCCAGAAATTGGAAGTAGGCACTTTTTGTTTCTTTGTGTGTTCAGTTTAAGCAAATACATCCTGGTTTTGTTTCAGCATTTGTAAGACCTCAGTTCATAAATCTAGTACCTTGTTTATAAACAATCTAGTGTGTCATTTGCTTTGCATATTAGTGTTTACAATTTTACTTTGCATTTTTTAACAGAAGGTAATGGAAGGCCCTAACACTAAAAATACAGATAATAATAATCCCTTGATAAAATATTTTTAACAAAACACAAAATACTTCATTTTGGGTAACTAAAAGTGCTTTTGTTTCAAATGATAATGTCTCGTGAGAGTCAGTTGGATATGTTACACTTCATCTTCCATGGGAAAAGAGTTTTTTAATTTTGATCTTTTAAAAATATTTTTGTTGATAGTTGGAAAGAAAGCTGATTAGACTTCCCCATGAGACAGAGGCTTCATTTTAAATTGTCTCTAATAAGCAGTACTGTGACCATCAGCATATTCACTCTTCTGTTTGTCATTTTGAGGGAGGCTGTGAAGGAGTCAGTGGCTTTTTCCTCCTCCAAAATTCCTTTGGGGCTGCAGCTTTAGACTGGGAGTTGATGATGTTTGTGTTTTTCACAACTAGGAATTCAGCAGAGCTAGCCTATTTCACTCTTTTGATTCCCGTGGAAGAGCGTGGCCTGATTGAATGTATTAGAATATGTGGGAAACTTCTTAAAAACGTAACTAATAACAGTAACATTTTTGCAGAACATGTAAACTGTCCTGAATTGATACACCGTTTATTTCAAGCTGCCACTACGAGTGGTGTGTGTAAGTTCAGAATGCAGATGCCATAGGCATAGTGGGAAGATGGGTATAAGGAATAAGGTGACCTCATTTAATCTGTATCTGCCTTTGACTCTGTTACGTACATAATGACAGTGTTCCTTAGTCGTCTCAACTGAGGTGGTGGAGATTATATAAAATATGCCAGCCTCATTTGTAAACATTTAGTACTCATATAGAAAGTATTCTGTGAATGCTGAGTGATTCATATGTAGGAGGGTTAAATTAGCATCTATTTGAAGAGACCCACCTAACTGAGCACAGGCCTGTTGTGTATGATTAATGTAGTTAACCAATATGTATGCTAATGCAAAGATATACGCGACCTCTCATGTAATGTTTAAGTCAGAAACGAATTGAATAGTGTGTCCCAAACAACGGTGAATGAATTGTTCAACACCATTCAGCTCATGTCAAATCACAAAAGGAATCAATTGTAGAAATGTTTTAGGGAGACTGTGTGCTCTGGATGCAAATTCTATTCATGAACTATCAGTTATATGTATCTCTAATTACTGGAAATCTTAACGTGCAGTGAAAATTATAGTACGTGTCTATAGAGCTAAAAGTGGTGGATTTATTTTCCCTTTTCACTGGGAAATTGAAATATTGGCTATATTTCAGACAATAATTTAAGGAAATAAATAAATAGGTTATAAGGATACTGTGTTTGTCTTGGTACAAATAAGAATATACTTGTTAGTTCATTGTAGTGACGCAAAGAAAATCAACCACCTGTCTCATGCTGGTGAAAATGAGAGCATGTATTTAATAGCACAGAATGTTAGTGTTTCAAAAGAGGTGTCATAATTTTGCATTAAAATAACACCACACCTATATTAAAGGGTGTTACCTACTCAAAATCAAGCAGTATAAAATGGGTGTATTTAGCATATACTAATATCTAGGACTCATTTTTTATCCCTGTTGAGTGTAAACAAGAGTAACATTCTGATTAAGGAATAATTGCTCCAGCGAACAATCAGCACGCACAGTGATAATCACATAGCTCTACTTCCTGAGCATTAACCTTATAGTGACAAAGGAGAGAAAATACCACTGCAAGGACGACAGGCAAAAACAGTTTTGAGAATAATTTCTCCTAGTAAAATATGGCTGAGTTTGTCTCCCATCAAAATAAGTTTTGATTATGCTTTGAAAAAAGAAAATTCTGTGCGAATGTTTGGTTACAAATCTGGCATTTCCATGAAAATTTTTGATTTCTTCTGCTGTTAAGAGAATTAGGAGGGACTCAGGATTGCCTTTGAGAAATTAAAGCAGAATCATGCATCTTTTCTTCTGAGGATTAAGTCGTGCTTGAGCATTATGTGTCAGTTCTGATAAGTGAAGCACTTACCCCTTGCTGACGGAATTATCTCAGAGAAGCTGCACGTCCCAACCTTTGAGGGACCTGTTATTTTAGATACCTGAAAGCCCATTATGCCTGGTCATTGATGTGGTGATTCTGTGGCAGTAAGTCTGACCTCCTGATTTTCCTGAATTACTTCATAGTCACAAAGAAACAGCTTAACAGACACTTGATTAAACAGTAAACACAAACAAAAAAGTAGAAATTAGGTTTTGATCTTTTGTGTTTTCTAATGAGCTGCTTTTTCAAGGGGAGCTTTGTTTTTTGTAATTTGTATAAGCTTTTACGGCACATCAGGAGGAGGTTGATCTTGGAGGAAAATGGATTTCTGTTGTTTACTTGCTATCGGTTTGGCACATCGCCCTTTTCATTCAGCAGTTTCATTAGGAATACACAGTGAATATTGGACTGGAGAACTAATAATGTATTTGACTAAGCTGATTTAGTGATAGTGAAATCCTGCCATCTGTCCAGAGCCTCTAAGAGAAATCAACTGTTCGTTGTGAAGGCTTTGTAATTTTGCAGTGTAGTATGGTGTGCCTTTAATAACCTACATGCTCTAAAGTAACACAGGATTTATGACAAAATCTTCATTCCAGTGATGCCACAGGTAAACCTTTCAACCAGCTGGGGAAGAGTCCAGAGGCAGACTTCAGCCTTGGTCTTCTGACTGTTTTAGATAATGGTTGGTGGAAAAGTAGGTCTTGCAGTAACTTTGATCCCTCTGGGGAATGTTTTGGCTATGAAAAGCCCAAAGAACAGAGCATGGAGCATTGTTAGTTGGTGTTGGTGGTTTTTTGATAGTGTTTTGTGGTGTTTTTTTTTTAAAATCTCAAAGCGCAAACATGTTCCCTGTGGTAACTACAGAATTACGCAGCTTTTTCATGAGATTAAATGTGAAGGTTTGCAAATACAGATTATATGACTCTGAAAGGGATCGCAGGTCTCTTGAATACCTCCATTTAGAAGTCCAACATCCACAATGTAAAAAGCATGCAGAAGATTTACAGGTGTTGAGAATAAAGTACATAAAATGTAGATCAAATGACAGATGAAAAGCACATACAGGCTCTGAACCTTGGAAGATTTCCTGTTGTTTGCAGCCATTCTTTCCCAGCACCACTGCAGCCCACGTGGCATTTACACTTGCAGTGATGGGGTTGGAGTACCAAATAGGTTCAGTGGGATGGTTTGATTTTTGGGAAGCCAAGGGAAATCAGACTTCAGTATGTAATTTTTTTAGGAGAGCAAGGAGCACTCTGGTGATCTGGTTAAGTATCTGAATATAATATTGCATTCGTTTTGTACTGCATTTTTCCTTCCAGATGTTCTATTTTTGATATGGTACTTATCTCACTGCAGGACATGAGTAACTTCCTCTGACTGAAGTGGGTGTTAGTGGAGTTTTGTCGAGAACAAACACCAATTTGTTTTGTTTTTTAAAATGTTGTGATCCTACTATATTATTAAATCAATTTAAGAAAGAAAATTATTCAAATAGACCTTTTTGTGCATGTGTTCCTAGTTGAGCTCTAATTTTTCTTATTGCTAGGTTTAGTAGCTCTCTGACTCTAATATCTAAGCAGCACTTATTTCAGCTATAACATGCATTACTGGATTAGGCTAATT